CATATACATATTACAAACCTGAAAATTACTGATACGAGGAAACTTCTCAAAATAATTAGAGGCCTTTTTACAAACATCTGGACTAATTTATTTTCACGAATTTGTAAGCGTTTTAAGCGTTTTGCACATTTTGAATATCTTCCAGCCTATTCCTCAGATCTTGATCGGTGAAAAGATTATTTATAACTATATAATTAGTACTGCAGGCTGCAGGTTAAATAAAAGAACATAATCAAGTAGAATTTGTGAATAAAAACTCAAAAAATAATGAAAATAATTAGAAAAAGAAACCGTAAACGTCAGTCAGCCAAATGTCAGAGTTCAATTAGATTTACCACAGATTATCAATTTAAACAATTTGAACTACATTCGATTCCAGTCTAGAGATTTTCATTTTTAAGCCTCCCATACTGAAGTCCGCCATATTGGGAAGTTTTAAATGATTACAAGTATAGCTATTAAAGTTGAACTAATTTCGCAGATATGTTGAAGTAACGTCAGCTCGAACGTCAGGCATATCACAGCCACCTAGATTTTATCAATGATAACTACTGAATATCACTGACCCTAAATCGTAAAAATGAAAACATCTAGAGAAATCTTTGTTTGAAGGGTAAGCAACCTTAATAATGTTTTGAAGAGACATGAATTGGGTATTCAATTTAAATTACAAAAATAACTTGCTTTGTGAGGTGGCCAATATTCATTATTAATTTTGTTTCCCTTTGTATAACTTTTTGGAGTCAAATTTTAATTTGATTTAAAGTACAATAGTTATTTTAACTATATATGAGGCTATACCGGGTCCAGTTTTTAATCCGTTTTATTGTAGTTTGCACGTCGTCTTTGGATACTGTGATGTTGGGCATTTCCGTGTATTTTTCCGAATTCACCCTTTCGATGTTAATCTACTGTGCTTTCCGATCGTGATGGATGTTTTCAGACCAAATTTCTGACCAGAATTCTGTCATTTCTGGGTCATGGGAGTTCGTGTTGTTCACCGGTGATTCCGGTTTCAAGATTTCGGAAGAACAGTCTTTGATTATTGTTGAAGAGTCTGTTTTGTTTATATCGTAGTGTTCTTTTATGGTATGTTTTCAGTCTATTGCCAAGAGCAGCTATTTTTTGTTTTAGAGTCTCCGCCCTTTGTATTAATGTTTGCTCCATTAAAATGGTCCCTGGTTTCACCTTAAATTTACGCGCACGCATTTTAATTTTCTTAACAAGTTTTCGGCTAGGTTGTTGAGTACTTAGACAACTATGAATTATTTCTATTTCCTTTCGGTAATTCGATATTTTTATTTCCAATCGTTTTTACCATAGGGGGCTTTGGCGTTCTCCTCCAGGCAAATTATGTTTATCCTGTTTTAGAATTTTACAGATTAGTGTAGCTGCGCAGTAAACTTTATAACAGAGATTCTCAAGATTGTCCGATTCATTAAAATACTTTGCTAGAGCAGTATTAATTGTCGTGATGGTGGTTTTACATTCAGCATTGAATTTCAGTCTTGGTATTTTTGGCCTTGTATCCATCGGTATCCCTTCATAGATTTGATTGGTTTCCTGGGACATGAGTAATATTTTCTCCTGTTCGTCTGTTCGCTGTATTTCTTTTGATGATGCGTAGGTGTTTACTGAGTGCAATCTAGAGTTAACAGTTCCTGAAAGTCTTAGTGTTCTTATGTTTATAGATTTTTTGTTGGGGCTTCTTTTAGCTTCAGATTTTATAGTATTTAGCTCGTCTATTGATATTAGTTTTCGTGCCTGGATTGTTAAGGATTTAAAGTAAACTGCGACAACCTCACATTCATTTGTGCGCCATTTGTGCGCCACAAGAGAACCAAGATGGCCGAGTCCGAGGAATTGTCACATAATTGTCACTTAGGAGGTTTTACGTTAATTATAAGTTTTTTTACAAATTAAACGACGATAAGAGAAAATAGTAGGTTTATTATTAAGCCCCGAACATGGTCCTTCCAGCCGAATGAATCCAGCTACAATAAATCAACGATTATCCAGGAAAAGCAAGTGGTTTAAGTTTCCCGGTTTGGTGATGGTGATGCTGATGAGTATTCCTTTATTGCCCGGTGAGTTTTTCCATTTTTCCGTTTCCTAATTTACCTTTTCCCTCTATTTTCTTAATTATATATATATATACTGTATATATTATAATACGTTAATTATAGTGTCAAACGACTTCGATTTACTTTACGATTACGATTTTTTAAATCAAAATACCGATATTTAAACTGAAGCCTCCTATAAGCCCTCTTAATGGGAATTATATGCTTAAATTAATCGAAATTATCGAATATTTATCGATTTACGAATATTTTCCGAGCTATTACTACCTGATTTACGATTAATTTACGAATTATTTACCTTATTAGTTATCCCTGAAATTGCGTACCGATGTACCGAATGAATTTTTTATTGCACAGGGTGAACGATTAAACTTTGTACCTTTGGGAAAGCCTTTTGTGAGGTTATATCTATTATATACTATATTCTACCTATACTATAAGCTCATATAGCTGCATATAGCGATTATTTCTCGAATATTTGGTGTATAGCGTTTCCTAGCGATTCCTAGAATAGTGGAATAGCGGTTGGCCGAGTCCAGGAGCGCTCGTAAGTATTTTTATTTGACACAACAAGTTTTGCCGATGCACATCCGATTGTAACCTAATAAACGATAATAAAGATGTTTTAATTTACCTATTACCTCTCCTAGAATACTAAATAAATACCCATTTTTCTCGATTTTATGCTCGATTGCTTATGGTAAGTATACCTACTTTGTATAATATTTTTAATATCATTTTCCTATAATACTATAAAATGTCTGAAGAAAAAAAGCTATTAAACCAAAAAATTGGTAGTATCAAAGGGCAGCTTACTCGATTTTCCCAATTTGTGGATAGTTTTAACCAAACTGATTACGCCGTTTTGGCTACACGTCTTGAAAAAGTAGAACAACATTTTCTAAATGATTTCGATAACTATCAAACACAGCTAGAACTTATTTCTAGTGACGATGATACCTCCAACGATGCGAGGAGCGATTTTGAACAAAAATACTACAGTGTAGTCGCCAAAGCAAGATCATTACTTCAAAATAACCCTTCAGCTGTGCAATCAAGCTCTTTTCAATCGACAATTTCTTCTCAAATAAGCACAGCTAACCCAGTTAAATTACCTCCGGTAAAATATTCCCGAATTCGATGGGTCTTTTGACAAATTTTTACAATTTCACGATACATTTAAAGCTATAATACACGAAAATACACTGGCTCCTACCCAGAAATTTTACTATTTATTATCATCTCTAAAGGGTGAAGCCCTTCAAACGATTCAAGCTATCCAAATAAGCGATTCTAATTACTTAATTGCCTGGAAGTTAGTGTGCGAAAAGTACCAAAATGACCGTCTAATAATAAACATCGATTTTAGTCATATACAATCGATTTTTGAATTACCGAATTTAAACCGAGAATCAAAAGACGGTTTATGTCATCTTGTACATACGGTGCAAAAAAACGTACGTTGTTTGAAAGCATTAAACCAGCCTGTACAGTCTTGGGACGCACTTTTAGTGTATTTAGTAAATTCTAAACTAGATATTACCACTCGCCGTGAATGGGAAAGTTCAATTAAGGGCTCAAAATTACCGACGTATACCGAGTTAATCGAATTTTTAAATAAAAAATGTCAAACATTAGAGGCCTTAACTGTTAACAATAATAATATCCCTACATCAAGTCATCAGAAAACTCGCGGCCAGTCTTATTTGTCTTCTAATAATAGTGCTACACATTGGTTAAACTTATGCGAAAGGTTTTTAAAAATTCCCGTTAATCAACGTTTTAATGAAATAAAAAATCTCCATTTGGTGTACCAATTGCTTAAAACCAAACCATTTGCCAAAAGACTGTAGATCGGGCGGCTGCAAAAAATGCCAAAGGCGTCATCATACGTTATTGCACTACGAAAGTGCACCTGAAAAGACAAATTCGAGCGCGATAGTAAAAACTAATTTTACCCTTGAAAATATCGAGTTAAGCGACGAAACTGAACTTCCAATTGTCACTAGTTTTTCCAATAAAACTAACAAGTGTTTTAGTAACGTGATTTTATCTACTGCAAACGTTTATATTTTCGATAAACAAAATAAGCCCATTTTATGTCGCATTCTTCTTGATTCGGGCTCACAATCGAACTATATTACTTACAGTTTAGCCAAAACGTTAAATTTACAGTTAGAAAAAATTAATTTGTCAGTAAGCGGTATAAGTCAAAACCTAATTATTAGTATTAAACACTCGACTACTACATCTATTACGCCAATTTATAATTCATTTAATTCTGAGCTGCATTTTCTGGTTATTGAGAAAATAACAGAAAATTTGCCGAACTTTACCTTTAATAAGAACGACATTAAAATTCCGAGCAATCTGAAGTTAGCTGATATTCATTTTAACGAGTCTAAGCCTATCGATCTTCTTTTGGGAGCGAATATTTTTTATTCACTACTTTGTGTAGGGCAAGTTAAACTGAGCGATAATCTACTTTTGCTTCAAAAAACACATTTAGGTTGGGTAATCTCCGGCCCTTTAACTTTGTATGCTCGACAAAAAGGTACCATTTGTAAATTAGCTATTAAAAACGAAAATATTCAAACCCAACGTTAGAGGAATGTACTCCCAATCTAAACACGAAGTTTTCGCGGGAGGAACTCGAATGCGAAACGCATTTTGTTAAAACAACTACCCGAGATCAAGAAGGCAAATTTACAGTTAGTTTGCCTATTAAAGACAATTCTAATGCCTTGGGAGACTCTAAAGAAAACGCGATTAAGCGATTTTATGCGCTAGAAAGACGTCTAAATAAAGATACCGAACTTAGAAAACAATATTGCGACTTTATTAACGAATATGCTGTTTTAAATCACATGACCTTAATTAACGAAGATTCCTTATTAAAAAAATCCGACCTACTACATGCCGCATCACTGTGTGGTAAAAAATAGCAGTACTACAACTAAACTCCGCGTGGTGTTTGACGTGTCAGCGAAAACATCCTCCGAAGTTTCCTTAAACGACGTTCTTAAGATCGGACCCACGATTCAAGACGACCTTTTGTCAATTATTTTAAGATTTAGAACTCATAATTACGTCATAACTAGCGACATTGAAAAAATGTACCGTATGGTCAATGTTACTGAATCCGATAAAGATTTACAACGAATTGTATGGCGTTCAAGTCCCGACGAAGAGCTTAAAACCTATAAACTAAACACCGTGACATATGGAACCGCATCTGCGCCATTTTTGGCTATTCCATCTTTACACCAAGTAGCCTATGACAACTTGAAGCAATACCCCGAAGCCTGCAAGGTTATTCTCAAAGACTTTTACGTCGATGATTTGATTTTTGGGACTTCCAATATAAACGACGCAATTAGGTTAAAAGATCAAATATCTTCAATCTTGGCCTATGCTGGGTTTATTCTTCGTAAGTGGGCTTCGAACGAGAAATCCAGTTTAAATCTACAAGAATATTCGCAAAATCTTCCCCAATTCTTTATTACCGATTCCGACGACAAAAGTGTTAAAACTTTAGGCATTTTTTGGGAGCCTAATAAGGACAAGTTAAGTTATTCCGTCAATCTTGCCGAGCTCTCTACCCAAAAAATTACCAAACGTTTTATTCTGGGAATTGTAGCCCAGGTATTTGATCCTTTAGGATTACTCGGCTCCATTGTCGTTAGAGCAAAATTACTTCTACAAGAATTGTGGAAAAAACAATTGGAGTGGGACGAATCTGTTCCTCCTGATATACATTCCTTGTTTACTCAATTTTATCGACAGCTTGGTAAAATTAATACACTTCAAATTCCTCGGCATGTTCTTTTAAGAACACCAGTTAAGATTGAATTGCACGCATTCTGCGATGCGTCTTTGTTGGCGTATGGTGCTTGTGTCTATTTAGTATCCGAAGATAACGTTGGCAACCGATTTTCCCAGCTGCTCACTGCTAAGTCCAGGGTTGCACCAATTAAAAGCATTACTTTGCCGAGACTCGAGCTTTGCGGTGCACTTCTGTTGGTCCAACTTGTCAAAAAGGTGACTGCGGCATTGAATCAATCATTTTCGACTGTCCAATTTTGGACCGACTCGACCATTGTTTTGTCGTGGCTTCGTATTGAACCTAGCCATTTAAAAACTTTTGTTGGAAATCGGGTGTCCGAAATTATGTCCAACTCTACGATAGAAAATTGGAAGCATGTCCCGTCGACTGATAATCCAGCCGACATTATTTCCCGTGGTACAAGTCCCGAAAATTTATCTCTTTGTCCCTTGTGGTGGGCTGGCCCGCAATGGCTGTTAAACAATTCTTCTCATTGGCCTCATCAAAGCGACCCATGTGAAAAAGAATTACCTGAACTTAAACAAAAAACTATCTTAACTTTTTCCTCTATCGACGATTTTTCTATTTTAAATAAATACTCATCTTTTATGAAACTTAAACGTGTAGTAGCTTATTGTCTTCGTTTTATTAAAAATAGTAAAACTGTCAAACCTAATAGAACCTTTAGTCCTTTATCAATCGATGAACTGGACGTATCATTAAAACGCATTGTCTACATTGCACAACTTCAAGATTTTTCTGCCGAGTTTCATGATTTACACAAAAATAACTCGGTTAATTCCAAGAGCCGTTTATCATCCCTGGATCCATTTTTAGATGAAAATCTTATTCGAGTAGGCGGACGTCTTAAAAATGCCGATGCTTCTTTCGGTAAAAAACACCCTTTTATTTTATGTGATAAAAATCCTCTAGCCCGTTTAATAATCAATTTTGAACATAACCGTTTAATGCATGCTGGTCCTCAAGCGGCCTTAGCCAGTATACGAAGTCAATTTTGGATTTTGAACGGTAGAAACGCTGTAAAGGGTGTTATTCGGCAACGTATTCCATGTTTTAAAGCGCGTCCTAAAACAATTTGTCCCAAGATGGGCGACTTGCCATCGACCAGAGTTATAGCTAATAGGCCTTTTGCTATAAGTGGCGTTGATTTCGCTGGCCCGTTTCTCGTTAAAGACGGCAAAACTCGATGTAGAATTTTAGTTAAATGCCATATATGTGTTTTTGTTTGTTTTGCCACAAAGGCATCGCATTTAGAGTTAGTTAGCGATATGTCTTTAGAGGCTTTTTTAAACGCACTAAAGCGCTTTATTTCCCGAATGGGAATTCCCCAAGAAATTCACTCCGATAACGGTAGCAATTTTAAAGGCGCGGCTAACGAACTTGAAAAAGTATACCAATACATATTGAACAATAGTTCTGAAAATATTCGCCACTTTCTACAAATAAATACATCAAATGGTCATTCATACCTCCTAGGTCACCCCATTTCGGCGGCTTGTGGGAGGCTTGTGTTAAATCCGCGAAATTTCATATGAAACGTATCTTATCAGACTCAAATCTGACATTTTAGCAGTTTTACACTGTAATTGTCCAAATTGAAGGCATCCTTTATTCCCGGCCTATTACTCCTTTATCCGACAATATTCACGATCTTGAACCTCTTACCCCATCCCATTTTCTCATCGGGCAAATGACCACTTCTCTGCCACAAAAGGACGTTGCAGACTTACCTATTAATCGTCTCATGAATTATCAGCGACTTACCCAAATTACTCAGCATTTTTGGGCAAGATTGCATCAAGAATACTTGTCCAGCTTGCAGCAGAGACTGAAATGGAAGAAGTCTTGTTCTTCGACACAGTTAAAGACCGGCATGATGGTCTTATTGAAGGAACACGATTCCGCGCCGTTCCAGTGGCACCTGGGGAGGATAATCTCTACCAATCCCGGAAAGGACGGAGAAGTTCGTGTAGTGACAGTGAAAACAGCGAAAGGGGACATTTAACAGACCCTTCGCGAAAGTGTGCTCTCTTCCATGCTCCATGGAAAACTAAGTTTTGTATTTTTTCTACGTGTTTCTCTACTTTATACTTGTTGCTGTATGTACTTGTATCGTACTTGCAAAGATTGTACTTGTATTTATTATTTTATGCACTTGGTGCTGTATCTGTTTGTCACTTCATGTAGCTTGATATTGTACTTGTTAGTGTACTTATGTATTGTTTAGTTAATGTACTTTCTGTATTTGTTGAAACCGTTACCGAGGCTTCGTTTTCTTTATCGAGAGCAAAAAAGGGTGTCAACATGTAGATTGCTAGTCCACATGTCGGCTTGCTGGGATCTGCGTGGGTGCGCACCGAGGCCTAATGGCCTCCCTGCAAGCATACCCGGCTGTACAGGTCTTACGTCGTTACCTGTAGCGCAGAAGACACTGCTGGCAACAGTGCCTATTCGGCTAGACCGGGAGGGGGGATAGGAATTTTTGGTAGTATTGAAGGATAGAACCTGACTTCTGTCTGAAAAAGGAGTGCGAGAGCAAATCAAGGTCGCATTCCTGCAGTAGGTCTGACCCACCACCGGGATCGTAGGAGTGTACCTACCCGCTACCCAATGCTATACCGGGTAAAAATGCACCTGTGTATAAAAGCATACAAGTCTTAGATAAAAACTATACAGCACTCAACCTGGCTAGCGACCAAGATCTGGAAGCAGAAAATCTTGCAGTACAGATGAAATAGCGCTGGCAGGGTAAAGTATTGCATGGCAGATTTTACGCCTTCTTGCACCACGAAGATGTGGATTTCAAGGCCTCAAATACTTTCCTAACAGATGGATACTTCTTCCCAGCAACCGAAGGCGCAATACTACCCATTCAAGACCAAGTGATAAAAACCCGAACATATGCACGGCACATATTAAAACAACAAGTTGAAAGCACGAAGTGTCGATTGTGTAATATCAGTGAGGAGTCTGTACAACTATCACTATTAGTGTAAAAAAAACTATACCAGGTAAATTCCAATTTAGGTAGCTTTTATTGAAATTTAAAAATTATTGTTCTCCATTTTTAGAAAATATTAAATATGTCAGAAACCTTACATTTTTGGCATATGCTTCTTTAATGAAACTCAGATTTATTTTTCCTAGAATACGAAAATCAATTAATATATAGGTTGTTCCATTACTAAAAATAAAATTTTGATGTGTAACTTTTTTGGGGCACATCCCGTAGACGTCTCTATATTTTAAGAAAGCACTCTAAATTAATTTACATACGGTCACAAAATTTAACTTCAATACAAACTCTCGTTCTCCTTGGAGCCTCCGCGTCGCGTCGTATGAGAGGCGCCACCCTGTATATTGATAACAACCGAAAGATTTTAAACGTAATATTTTATTCAAAATAAGGAAACACACAAAACTATAGGTATCAGTTATTTTTCTCAAGCAAACGGCTTGTCCATCCGAGCACGGTGAATGCCTTCTGTCATCTTGACCGCCCAATTCACAACAATCAACTTCCAACAATCAACCTTGTTATCCACCTGAAAATAGTTGATACCTCCGTGACCGGCAGCGGCTCGCACCATTTATTTCTAACACGGCCAATTCTGACACCAATGACGCTCTCGGCACTCTCTTTCACTCATTAACCTAACTCACTTTCTGCAATGAAAGAAACTTATGGAAAGGTCTCAGCTTCTTCCTAACAATATTCTCTAACAAATATTGTAACAAATAGTTTTATACGCGTAAAAAATAGTTTTTACGTGTACCAAATAGTTTTTTACACATAAAAAATAGTTTTTTTATGCGTAAAAAGTGTTTTTATATGCGTAACAAATAGTTTTATGCGCGTAAAAAATAGTTTTTGTGGGTAACAAATAGTTTTATACACGCAAAATAGTTTTACGTGTAACATTTTTATTCGCATAAAATAAAAAATTAATAAAAATAGTTTTTTACACGTAGAAAATAGTTTTATACGCGTAAAAATAGTTTTTGTGGGTAACAAATAGTTTTATACGCGTAAAAAATAGTTCTTTACGTATAACAAATTGTTTTTTACACGTAATAATTTGATTCACTTTTACAATACTTGGATTCAAATATCAATAGGTATTTCTCATAAACACGTGGACTGCTCAGAAACACACGTCGCGTCACTACCTATTGTTACGTTTTTCGTCGGTTCCGTGTGGATAGAAAGTCACAATTTATTTAAACACTATTTATTTAACACTAATTAACAAAAACAATAACGATAAAAGACTTAAAGAACTATTTACAAACGATTTATAACTAAGAATTTATTTTTGAATTTTAGCGCGTCAACTGTACTTGTCGATTTATAACTGCCCTCTCTAGGCCACAGCCGCCAGCTTTTATACCTACAGCAAAAGAAATCTAGAATAGTCCATAGATCGTTAGGTGCATAGAGAAGGTTTCGAATGTTCTCGTATGTACTAGTCCATTCCAGTGGGACTCGATTCTTCTCAAACGAATGAATCATTACGGTGTTTATTCTTTAATGCGATGTTAAGGTCATCTGAGGGCGGGACATATAGTTAGGTTAGGTCGAGTCCACACGGGTCCGCAACACTATTTTAAACCGTTACCACTTGCTCGTGTCAGAGCCGTCTCCCTAGCTCGTATGTCACGGCTTTGAATTTTTACTCCCAGCGTTCGTAAAGAAGTTAACTAGAAAAAATCATGTCCTAAAATTGCGTTAGCAATTAGTAATATTTACTAGTCTATTATACAGGGTGTTTCAAAAAACATGTGCCATCTCTCGTGGGGAGATTCCTCACGTAAAAATAAGATTTATTTTTCATATCAACATAGGTCTGATTCTGCTTTGTTTTATAGCTGCAGGGTGTTAAAGTCTTAATATCTTTTCGATTTATTATAATTTTCTTCCAAGTACTTTTAGCGATTCGTATGAAATTTTGAGGGTAAAAGTTACAATAAATGCGACATATTTTAACATTAAAAAAGTGTCAACATATTCACCAGAGACGTGCATATGGGTTACCTCTGAAATATTTTTCTAAAAAAAGCATGTACAAATCTAACTTTTTACTCTCTTGTTAGCGAAATAGTGTAAGCCGTTTAATGCCAATTGAAAGGTGTCTCTTGATATTTTATCCAATTTCGGCTTCCTTGATGAGATAAACGCAATTTTTTGATATCAGAAGAAAAAAGTCAGTGGCGCACATGTTTTTTTTGAAAAATATCCTAGTGATAACACATATGCATGTCCCTGGCGCATTTATTGACACTTTTTTAGCATTAAAATATGTAACACTTATAGTAACTTTTACCCTCAAAATTCCATTCAAATCACTAAAAGTACTTGGAAGAAAATTATAATAAATCGAAAAATTATTAAGACTTTAACACCCTTTCACATATAATCGAATAAAATGGCAAAAAATAGGCGGATTTAATAAAACCGCTCAATTTCCTAACTGTTTAGATGCAATTGATGGGAAGCACATACGAGTCAGTCAACAATCAATGAACCTCAATTACAGAAGTTATTTTTTCTATTCTCATGGCAATTGTAGATGCTGATTATAAATTTACGTATATTGATATAGGAGCCTATGGCAAAGATTGTAACTCATCTGTCTTCTAACACACGATTTTTTCTAAATGATGGTGAACAGACAGTTACAAATTCCACAGCCCTCTCCCTTACATTCGGCCGGCCATAAAAATGTTCCATTTAATTTGTATTTGTGGCAGATGAAGCATTTGGACTATCAGAATACATAATGCGCCCTTACGCACGGCATAGCCTCCCACAAAAAAAATAATTATCGCTTAACACGCGCAAGCAAGAAGATACGTCGAATGCGCTTTAGGTATTTTAGCTGACAAATGGAGAATTCTTCATAGAGATTTGAATGTAAGAAAATAGTTCTCTAAAGATATTGTTAAAGCATGCATAATCCTTCATAATATGGTGCGAATAAAGGATGCACAAAGATTAGAAATGTACGTCACTCAGCAGAAACTACAAACATTTAATAAAACTTTGTGTAATCGCTCTAAAAGGATTGCAACTGCATTGAGAATGCTTATAGAATTGAGAAAATGAAATTTTGATAGCATATTACGTAGGATATTACGAGTATTTTTAAAACTATACAGGGTGTCGTAGAAATAAGTGCAAGTATTTTAATTGGTAGTATATTGCGGCCTATGAGGTATTTTTTGCGAAAAATTTTTTTTGATTTTTTTTTTAAATTTTGGAATCTTTTTTAGTTTTAAGTTAAAAAACATAAGTTCGTGATAATATGGCAACATAGATGTAGCTAAATTTACACGAAAGAAAATCCAGAAAAGATCCAGTGGTTCTCAAAATTTTAGCAAAAAATCTTTTTTTTGGAAATTTTCAAAGTAAAATAACTCGGTTATTTTGGACTTATTTGAAAAACGGTAAAGAGAAAAAATGTTTTTTTTTACCAGATCTACCACTCCTTAAAATACTTGCACTTATTTCTGGGACACCCTGTATAGAGTTCTACGGGCTGTCCTCAAAAAAAATTACACATGTAAGTTTTGTTTTTGTAATGGGACATATTAATTGATTTTTGTATTATAGAAAAAAAATATCTAGGAAAATATATCTCTGATAATATCTTAAAAGTAATTTTGATAATCTTAAAAGTATTTTGAAAAGACATGAATTATCTAATGAATATCGCAATATTATACTGGGTGTTGCATTTAAAATAAAAGAGTAACTTGCTTTCAAAAGTGACCAAAGTTCAATATTAATTTTATCTTACCCCGTATAATTTTTTGGGTGTAGTTTTAATTGGATTTAAAAAGTACAATAGTTTTTTTAACTAGAGGTATCTGGGAGCACGGCAAGTCGAGCCCAAGTCGAGCACAGCCGTACAATCCTTTTCTCAAAGATATTAGCGGCACTTATGACCACTCTGTAACTTCGTTGTGGATAAAGCAAGAATATTAATTCTCACTACAGTTGAA